AAAAAAAAAAAAAAAAAAAGAGGGAAAGCTCCCTGAAAACTGAAATTTTTCTCTCCTGTTTTATGCAAAGTTTTTAAAAGACACCAGATTATATAATAGTTGCTTAATGTGTTAAATGAGTGAATAACTAAATGAATGCATGGTTATAGCTATGGAAAATTTAGTGAAGGAAAATATAGCCCAATAAATCTGACATCATGTTAAATTTCAGTTTGGTATCTGTTAGTGGAAGATGCAATCTTAAAAAATGTACAACTTTTTCGCCTGCACTGCTAGTGTTTTATTCCCTTAGACTCAAGAGCTGGTCTCTATATGGGTCTCATACCTACCAAGCACCATATTATGTGTTTCTTTTAATGGAAACAGTATAGCTAGAATTTTATTTTACACAAAGGTCAGAAAATTCAAAGTGATAGTTGCCATACCAGCCAACTACAACTTGGCCCCTCAGCTCATATGAATTTTTGCTATTACTTATATCTGCTCTTAACTTTAATGCTTTAAAATATATAAAGGCAATTTGTCTGCCTTACTACTGCTGTGGGATTTGTGTACAGTTTATGCTTCGGGGCTTAACACAGGACAGTGACATAACACACAGAATTCGTCCCTTTCTTTGGCAGTGAACAATAGAATGCATTTCTTTTACTACTGAAGTCCACCCATAAAAAAGACCATTCACTTTTTAAAAGTTGCTCCTCTGCATTCAAGGAGGAAAAAACTAAAATACTTTTACATTCCACATCTGCCTCAGTTTTCCCCTAAGCCTCAGTTTTATTAAGGTGCCTTCTCCTGACATATGTGATACTCATTTTTATCCACCTTATGAGACTCCAGGCACAAATTCTCATCCTTAATCTTGCAATTCATATGGAAATTAGAGCCATACAGATTCAGCTGTCTCAGTGAGATTATTTCTTGTCTGGAGCTGTCTTTTAGAAGAAATAATGGAATCAAAGTAGTTGCATGTCACTTTTTAGGACCTTCATGGAATGAATATTCGAAACCAACCATATTCCATAACATTAATTTGTTCTTGCCATTACTAAACTTGCTAAGTGCAGCTTCTGAGCCCTTCATTCATTGGTATTGCATCAAATTTGCATATGTTGCATTTATAAGATTCTTGTTAAAAGTTAGGATGGTCAAATTCACCAAAATCTGTGGCAGCCAGACAATAAAACACCAAGAACGAGACCCTGCCATTTAACAAAACACAAATTTTTCACTCAGGAAGCTGAGTCAGCAGCTGACATGGAACAAATAATTTTGGTGTTTTGAAAATTAATTTTTAATTTGTTCAAAAAAATATGTGTTGACAGGCTCCCAAAAAGAAAATATAAAAATGAGTACATAAGGATCTTTCCCCACCTGAATTTTCACCTGTCCAGTCCTGTCCCGACTCCCCAACCAAAGCCTTGGTGTAGGGAACCACTGTTCTTTACTTTGTCATATACCTTTCTGTTATATACTTTTATCCCTGTGCAGATAACTTTGGAAAGTGAATATTATTTTTCCCTTTTGAAATAAAAAGAAATAGATAACAAACCTTCAAATACATTTTAAGTACAGCTAAATTTGGTTACATTTTTTTGGATAATTGATGATATCCCATTCACCAAACTTTTTTCTCTTTCACATTCCGTTTGGATCATGATGCATCAACTGTTTAAGTGTGATAATTAATTATGAACAGGTAAAATTTTACTCTGAGGTATAAAACTAGGTTATTCTTAAGCTCATGAAAAAATGCATTTACTGGTTTCTCATTTAAACAGAAAAAAATAACATTGAAAAATCTATCAAGTACTATGATGCAGATTAGTTAAAATATTATATACCTAAGTAACTTCCTTAAATTTAATTGCTTGTTTTATTGTGGTTTAGGTTGTTGATAAGAAATTAATGTTATTATCTTACATTTATAATTCACAATGAGTAGATTTTGAAGAAATATAAAATGAAATTCTGTAAGAATTACATGCATTTTATTTTTATAATATGTATAGCTAGATCATGCTTAATTCTAAATTATAATGCTTTACATGTTTTAGTATTTGTTTTCCTGACAAAGAAGTCAATTTCTAGGACAGTGTTCTATGATTTCTTAGCCTAACCATTTGACTAATATACACTTTGAGATATATTTTATGTTATCTTAATAAGAATAATTTAAAAATACATAGTTTCATAAAGCAGAATGTTTTACTGAAGGAATAATTGAAATTGAAGAAAGGAAACTTATTTTCTATGCAGTCCTACCATTCCTAATAGTATGACTTTGAGTGAAAGGTGGGGGAAATGAGCTGCAGAGGACTTCACCTCAACAGTCCAAAGCAGGTTTTATTGTTAAGCCTGAGAGGGACCCCACTCTGTTCCCGACAGTCAGGAACATCTCATACAGCCTAAGGGTGTTTCTATAGCTTGGCTTCTCTGTAGGAGAAAGTAACGAGCTTGTAGGGGTACGTGGGGTTTAAAAATGTCAGTTTCCTCATCCCAGATCTATCATTGAGCAAGTTATTTGATCTGTTATTATTTAAAAGTTTGGCCCACTCCAAAAGTTTGTTTAAATTATTCTCTAGAAACTAGATATGAAAGGAAAGTGAAAGAAAAGAATACTATAACGATGTAACTACAGCTAAAAAGAGAAAAATGAAATGAAACAAGAGTAGAAAAGTTATACCTTATAAGAATAAACATGAACATTATTTGTAAATTATTTATACATATATATGTAACTTTTGTTTCTCTAGACTGATTGCTCTGGCTAATGTTTAGCATATTATATGAAACAAGAGTGGTGATAGTGGTCATCCTCATCTTGTTTCTGATTTAAAAGGGAATACTTTCAGCTTCTCCCCATTTAACGTGGTGTTACCCATTAGTTTGTCATCAATGGTTTTTATCAGATTGATATAAGGTTCTTCGCTACTTATATTTTTCAGGGTTTTTACCATGAATGAGGGTCGAATTTTGTCAAAAGCTTTTTCTGTGTCTGTTGATACGATCATGTGTGCTTCCGTTTATAGGGTGTATTACATTTATTGATTTGTGAATGTTGAAACAACCTTGCATCCCTACAGTGAAATCCACCAGGCTATGATAATATGAACCTTTTGATGATTTGCTGCATTCTATTTGTCAATATCTAATTGAGGATTTTTACATTCATTACAAAGATTGGCCTATAGTTTTCTTTCTTAGTTGGGTCTGTGTCTGGTTCGGGGGATCCAAGTGATGCTGCCTTAAATGAATGTTTGGAAGCACTTAATTCCTTTCATTTTCATTAAACATTTTGAGGAATATTGGTGTTATAACCTTCTTGAAGGGCTTATAGAATTCAGTGGTGAATCTTATCAGGTTCTGAACTTTGTTGCTAGGTTTTAAAAATTAATTTCTAAATTGTTGCTTCTTATTGGATTGTTCAGAATTTTTATGTCTTCTTGGTTCAGTTTTAGTAATTCATATGTATCTAGGAATCTGTTCATTTCTTCAAAATTTTCCAACTTACTGAAGTACAATTTTTATAGTTACTAACAATCTTCTGAATTTCAGCAGTGTCCATTTGATTTTACTTTATTTCTAATTGCATTAAGGTGAATCTTTTCTCTTCTTCTTTGGATATGCTTAACTAAGGGTTTATCTATTTTTCTCTCAAAGTACCAGCTCTTCAATTCATCAATTCTTTGTAAATTT